ATTGAAAATGAGTTGAAACTATACTAAGATAAGGGTTACATAAAATGGCGTAATACGTATGGGGTAATAATTAATTATAATAATGGTAATTAATGAACTGTTATGAATGAAATTACTCGATAATCATAGGCTGTCTTGATACCGAACAAGGTATAGTCAGGAATTTGCAGTTCACAGAGAATCTATTCTTATATTTAATGTAATAACATAAATGCTTTGTTGTTAATTCATTGTTACATTATACATTAAAATATTTTTAACCAAGAAAAATACCGTGTATATAATCGACATATATTTAACATATTTAAATTAAATTATCTTATCGGAAAATTTGAGCTACTTTGTTTAAGTAGCGTTATTTCCAACCTACATTAGCAACTAGATTTGTACTTACTTTTAGTCGATTCAGGTATTTTTACTTTTGATGTTCTTATTCAATATGCAAAACATTTCTAAATTATACTTAATTATACGTGACCTCAAGTACACACTTTTCCTATCTTTTACATTTTCTATTTTTTCTATTGCTTTGTTAATGTAACTTAGATCAATTGTATTCGGAGATGGCATATAGCTTCAAAATATTATTCAATATAACTAGCATGAAACGTTCCAAGGGAATTCCGCACACATACAGTTTCCATGGTATCTTTGTTTACCTACAACTTTGTCCAAAGTTCTATGAAGAGCTTAATCAATCAAATAGCTTTTTACTTGATCATTTAGGCTTCCGCGATATGGATAAAGACTTGATTTAGCTTCCGAGATGGCGCCGCTTCATAGATTTGTTTCCGACGTTTCGTGAACATTTCAGATCACTTCTTTAGGGTGAAATGCAATCCAAGATTTGGACTAATCATGCTCGTGACTACCATTTGTCAATGAAATGATGAAAATACGGAGGGAAACGAAAATCAGAGCATGCACAGCATATTCGAGCACGATAAGCTAGGAGAGCATCGTCCGAACCTCCCCACGTGTATCCTCACGTGCTATGTCCTCACTCATATAACAATCGATCAATCGTTACTATGTGCAACGTAGTACAAAAATAAATTGAGGTACAGCTCATTATTCATATAACCATTCTGTAATTTCGCCAGGAGAAGCTTGACTTTTTTTTCCCTCGTTTATGTCTTTCAAGTCTCGCGGCATTGCGCGTAATTCAGTTCTGTTCTGTTGAAATAACTAATGCAGAAATTGTACGATAAATGGCTTTCGGTATCAAGAAAAACAAGAGTATCACTCGCACTGAGTCATTGTATAGCATCGTTGTGAGGAATTCTCGGAAGAAAAAGAAAACAGCTTGCAACCATTTCTCATGACTTTCTCTTCGTGTATGGCCGTGACGAATTATTTAGAGCGCCTACGGAATTACAAGACGAGCATGCAAATAATGAACTGCGTCAGGGTTTACTTACACTACACAACGCATAATAACGATTGAGCGGTGTTCACCGAAGTGGGGGCGCAGTATGTGGGGACGCATTTGAAAAATCAGACGGTGCTCTCTTACTTTGTCGCGCTCGAGAGTGCCGTGTATGCCGCTCCGACGTTCGATTCTTCGCGTATTCTTGCGATCGTTGACAGATGATAATTACGAGTACAGTCAGTCCGTTGCTGAAAATCGGCCTTCGAATTCTCGGCATGTGGCCGGACGTGCCATACGCCGCTGTTCGCCGATTACTTCATGTGTCAAGCATACTGGTAGTGCAGTACTTCCAGTATCTGTATATATTTGCGCATTTAAAGCTGAGCGAGTTGGAGAATCTCGTGGAGAGCTTACCGGCGACTTTTTATTACAGCTTGACTAGCATCAAAGTGATGACACTTTGGAAGAATCATCGGTAAGATAGCACGGCAGGCAACGTGACTTTGAATCTTTCCGATTCGTTTCCGTCCCCGAGGAACAAGATCGGCGTCCATCAATGTGTATCACTCGCTTCCTAATATTCACTAACGAAACGAAACGTGACTTAGTATATTAAACTGGCTAAATACTAGTGTACGGAGTGGTATTTAATTTCGCGTAGAGGTGACGGATTACACAACCGCACCGAATATCTCTGTCGGATTAAAGTGACACTTTGCAGCATAGTCCGTGAAATACTGGACGCTATGGATACTGATTGGTGCGAGTGCGTGAACGTTCAGCAGTATTTGCGCTTGATGAAGACGAAAGCTAGCTTCTCGCATTCTTGCATGAACGCTTGGTTGAGTATAAACACGATCGGCGGGCTGATCTATTTCGGAGGTAATAACGCGTTAGCTTTGATGCACCTGGTGGGAAACGGCAATAATACTTCACGACTGTTTCCCGTGAGTGTATTGTTTCCTCTTGAAGCTGAACAATCGCCAATTTACGAACTCCTCGTCATCATCTTGTTTCTGCACGCGATGTTGGTGACATACACGGTTGTTTTTCTGAACGCGCTGATCTCAACTCTGGTATGTCTCGCAAAGTTCCGTGATTAATCATCTGACAATTCTAAAATACTGTCGCGGCAAATATTAATGTAGGCTTAGTTGTGATTTAACGTACTTGAACACACTTTTGCAGAACATTCCGAGGCTGTTTAAAATTTGATGTAAAAATATGAAATTATATCAGGCGTTAGATTTGTATAATTCAATAATCAGTCATAAAAAATATTATGTCAAACTTTCTTTATTTTGCCTCTTTTAATCGAAATATATTGTAAAATGCACTTTCTTCATTTTAATATCATATTTGACATCTTCGCAAATACTCAAGTACGTTTTAGGTACTTCATGTAAGCGGACAAATCGATATTATATGTCAAGATCTTCAAAACATCTCTGAGAATATACCTTATTACGGATCTTCTGGGCAAACAGTAGGAATGCTGATCGAGAGGCATAACAAAGTCATTACATTTTCTAAAAATATGGATAAACTCTTCTCTTTTATGGCTTTGATGCAGGTTGGTTGGAATACCTTAGTCATCTGCTTTCTAGGACTGCTCGTTGTAATAGTGAGTATCGCAGTACCAGTACTATTGCGCGGTGATCGATATTGTAATTTATTGAGAATTGTTGATCATTTAACGAGATAGTCTGTTCATAACGATACTGGCGTCGTCCTGTTAAGAGGCGGATTCGCTTACTGCAACATAATGATGGATGTTTTTATCTTTTGCTTTGCGGGAGAATACCTTAGTCATAAGGTTAGTAAGTATTTAAAAATAATTAAGTCTAATTTATTTTCACATTTAACCTACTTTGATAATTATTTATTAATCATTAGATTTCGATTGTTTGAGGAAATATCTGTTCAAAAGCGATATTAGATTTTAAAGTTTTTAGGATATTTATGTTACATTGAAGTTGATCCTTGCGATGGAAGTTTTTTTTTTCCTTGAATGCTTTGTCCATAGGCAATATATAGCGTTTCTAGCGCGAATTCATATATTGCTTTTTTTATTATATTATAGGTATTTTATGATATTCGTAAGCTGTAAAGATGCTTTCCTCAGTTTTTTGAAAAAAGAAAGAAAGAAAGGAAAATGTATTATATATAATTCACTTGAAACTTTATTTTCTTTTTGCTCTTCTCCTAGAGCAGATCACTCGGTAATGCAGGATATGAATGTTCATGGTATAAAATGTCACCCAGTCACAGCAGAAATATATTATTCTTTATCATGAGGTCTCAGAAACAATTGACCATCACTGTGGGAGGAATGACAAATTTATCATTAGAAACCTTCACGAGCGTAAGCCTGCAAATATTTTTCTTAATTTACAACTATGTGGTCCTTTGCATTTTTCCTAACTAACGTCAACATATGTTACAAATTGTATTAACTGCGTATATATACATATATATATAAGTCTATCTATATCTTTTTACAAACGATAATCCGTCTTACGACATTTTAGATCATGAAAGCATCGGCATCATATATATCCGTTTTGAATGCAATGTATTAAGATTACTTAAATCTAAATAGTACCGTAAGGATTACATTAAATTGCGTATGGGATAATTTGCAAACTGTTATCGCTGAAATTATGTATACGGTAATTGCAGAATAAATCCTGATACCGGAAAAGATGTAATTGGGGATTTGCAGGATTGCAAGGAGATTTACAGAATCTATACTCTTAAATTTAATAAATACATTTTTATTGCTTTATTGTTATATTGTACACTACAATATTTTTATCTGGGAAAACTAATCTATATATTTAGTTTCAGATTGTGTCTAACATACTTATCGTTGATTTTTCACCGAGAAACTTGAGAAACCCCACACAGTTTAAGTAGCCTCTTCTCGTGATCTCAACTTGCACTTACTGCCTTTTCATTCGTTTCGTCATTGTAATGTACATAATAATATACGGCGTTATACGAAAAGAGTACGTAACTTCAAATTAGCGCCATATAATTATTATGAAATTTCTACTGCAACTTAGCGCACGTACGTTTCCATGGCAACTTTATTCGCAGCTGTAACCAATGTTTCGCGAACAGTCTGATCCAATAAAATTTTTTTGCTTCTGGGATTCTTGCCACATGTGCATCTCAGAGGATGCTATTCTCCGTAGCACTTATAAAAATTATTATCCATTACTCAATATTCACCTTCTCTCTGGAGGAGTCACAATATCCTTCCTCCGTTTATTGCTTTTAAGATACATGAACACCTGTGTAATTCAGTTCTACTTTGTTAGAATGACTGATGCGGTTATCGAACGTTTACTAATCCTCGCGTATAAGACACGACTACCATTCGTTTTCTTATTATAGTACAATATCACAGCACAACTTTGTCGCACAGGAAGAAGTTCAAAAGAAAAAACAAAAAAAACGGACAGCGGTTCGCACAGTCGTACGTGTAATTTTGTCTCCATGATCAAGATGTTATATTCAAACGTGCGTGCAGATAATGAGCTGTATTTCGACATGCTGTTATACTGTACAAATCATAATAACGATTGATCAGCGTTCACGGAGGTGGGGAAGCAGCAGGTGGGGATGCGTTTAGAGGATTGGCTGGAGCTCTAACAGTTTGTCGTAGACGAGAGTACCGTGCGTGCATCTACTTTCCCTACATAGTGTATTTTCAGGATCGTTGACAGATGATAATTACAAGCACGGTCAGTCCGTTGCTAAAAATCGGTCTTCGAATTTTCGGCGTGTGGCCAGACGTGCCATACGCCGCCTTTCGTCGGCTGATTCATGTGTTAAGTATATTGATAGTGCAGTACTTTCAGTATCTGTATATATACGCGCACTGTCGGCTGGGAGAGTTGGAAAATTTTGTGGAGAGCTTACCGGCGACCTTTTACTACAGCTTGACTTGCATTAAAGTGATGACACTTTGGATACATCATCGGTAAGATAACACGGCGGACAACGTAACATTGAGTCTCTCAAATTCGTTTTCACTCTCGAAGAACGAGATCGACGCGTCGTCCATTAACATATTATTTACCCTCTGATATTCTTCATGAAATGAAACACGACTTAGTATTTACACTAACTAAATATTAACTGACGCGACAGTGCTTAATTTCGCGTAGTGCGATTACACAACTGCGTTAAGTATCTTTTTCGGATTAAACTCACACTTTGCAGCATTGTTCGCGAAGTATTGGCTACCATGGACACTGATTGGTGCGAGTGCGTGAACGTTGATCGGCACTTGCATTTGATGAAGAGGAAAGCTAGGCTCTCGCATTTTTGCGTGAACATTTGGTTGAGTCTGAACACGATCGGCGGGGTAATCTACTTCGGGAGTAACAACGCGATGGCTATCATGCATCTGGTGGGAAGCGACAATAATACTTCACGACCATTTCCTGTGAGTGTACTGTTTCCCCTCGATGCTGAACAATCGCCAATCTACGAGATCCTCGTCGTCATCTTGTTTCTGCATTCGATGTTAGTGTCATACACGGTTGCTTTTCTGAATGCGCTGATTTCTACTCTGGTATGTTTTGCAACGCTCCCTGATTAATCGATGATGATGCCAAAATATTGACGCGACATAAACTATAATGTAGGTTTATTTGTCATTTAACTTGGGAACAGTCGGTTTTGCAGTATTACTCTGACGCTGTCTAAAATTTGATGTGGAAGAATAAAAATTTACCGATCGGTCGGGCGAGTTGGAAAATTCTAGATTTTTATAATTCATTAATCTGTTATCGCTCATGAAAAATATTATGTTCGGTATTTTTTCCTTCGTTCCTTTTAATCAAAACATATTTCAAAACGCAATTTGTTTTATAAAAATAATGTTTAAAATATTTGCAAATACTTAAGTATATTGTAGATACTTCATGTAAGCGGACAAATCGATATTATAAGTCAAGGGCTCAAAATGTATCTGTGAGAAAAAACCCTATCTGTGAGAAAAAACCCTATTATGAATCTTCTGGCCAAACAGTAGGAATGCTGATCGAGAGGCATAATAAAGTCATCACATTTTCCGAGAATTTTGATAAACTTTTCTCCTTCATGGCATTGATGCAGGTTTTTTGGAATACATTGGTCATCTGCTTTCTAGGACTACTTATTGTAACAGTAAGTATCGCAATGCTCGTACGAATGCGCGGTCATCGTGATTGTAATTTATTGAGATTTATTGATCATGTAACAAAAAAGTCTGTTCATAACAATGCTGATGTCATCCTGATAAGAGCCGTAATTGCTTATTGCAATATCATGTTGGAAACTTTTATCTTCTGCTTTGCAGGAGAATATCTTAGTTATAAGGTTAGTGGATATTTTCAAATCATTAAATCTAATTTATTTCTACTTAATTTCTATAACTTGATTTGATAATTATTGACCATTAAATCTCGATCGTTTGAAAAAAATATCTGATCGCGAAAACGACCCCAAGATACAACCCGTATCAACCGTCACGTACATTAGGTCAATGTGAATAAAAATGTCCTCTTTCATTTTATAAACAACACGCAAAATTTCGAGCTATTATTTATCATAAATGGCCGTATATAGAGACTTATTTAATTAATTAATAACTCAAATTAATTAATAACTTGAACATTTGCATGTTATTAACAACATGATACAGGATTTTTATATTCAGAGTGAATTAATTTACAAGTTTATGACAGCTGTTGTACTTAGCAACATATTGAAGGTTTGAGTTTCAAGTTTTAATATACCGATGTGCGTCATTAGGTACAACAGCTGTTACATACTAGTTATTTATAGATTAGACCATTCTGTACTTAAAGTCTTTCCTCATCTTGTGAATAACACATAAATTTTTGAGTCATTAATTAAAGAATCTCCTATAAATTTTCGACTAAAAACATAAAATTTTACGTGTTGTTTGCAAAATAATAGAAGACTTTATTGTTTACATTGACCTAAACTATATGTCGGTTGGTACGCCCCGCGTCAGATATCTTGTATATAACGATCATGCACGATTCCATGATATATTGTTATTTTTTATTGTATAATTATGATAATCTAATTTGGGTAGTTTATGATAATCTAATCCACATAAACTATATGGACGATATTCCTAATTTTTTGAATAAAAAAAGTGGTAAGTTTGAACTTGAAACTTTTTTTGCTCTTTTGTTAGAGTATATCACTCGGCAATGCAGGGTACGAATCATTATGGTACAATATGTCGCCTACTCATAGTAAAAATATATTATTCTTTATCATGAGGTCTCAAAAACAACTGACCATCACTGCGGGAGGAATGACAAGTTTATCATTAGAAGTCTTCACGAGCGTAAGTCTGCAGATTTTTTCTTCCTTTATATAATCCCCTAATTAATATCAGCACATATTACAAAGTGTATAGATTGTTTATATACATATATGGATCTTTTTGCGAACAATAATCTGTTTTACCTCATTTTAGATCATGAAAGCATCGGCGTCATATATATCTGTATTAAATGCGATGTATTGAGATCACTTAAAGCTATAGTACCGTAAAGATTATTAAATTGCGTAATATATATGAGGTAATAATTTAGAAACTGTAATGAATGAAACTGTCTATACAATAATTGCAGATCTTGTCATGATATCGAAGAAGATGTAATAAGGGGTTTGCTGGTTTGCAGATATTCAAAGAGATTTACAGAATCTATGATCTCATATTTAATAAATATTTGTTTATGAATCTATAATCTCATATTTAACAAATACTTGTTTATTGCTTTTCTGTTATATTGTAATTTAAATCATTTTTACTTAGGAAAACTAACATATGTATATATGTAGTTTTTTACACCGTCTTCAACGTATTTATTGTTGAACCTTTACCGTGAAGTTTGAGCATCTTTACACAGTTCAAGCAACGTCTTTTTCTGACCAGCACTTGCACTTGCTGCCTTTTCATTCATTCGGTTACTGTAATATACGTAACAACACAGTATTACTCGAAAAAGGCACGTAACATCAAATTAATGTTTAACTCAATAATTATGAAATTTCCACGGCAATTCTGCGCACGTATATTTTCCACTGCATCTTTGTTTTGTCGCAACTGTAACCAAGGTTATACGAAGAGTCTAATCGATTAAAACTTTTTGCTTTTGAAACTCTTGCCGCATGTGTATCTCGGAGAATGCCGTTCACCGTAGCATTTAAGAAAATTACTCGCCATTACTCAATATTTATCCTCTCTCTCTCGAGAGGAATTATAATGTCCTTTATATGTTCATTCCTTTTAAGATACGTGAACATCTGTGTAATTCAATTCTGTTAGAATGACTAATGCGGTTATCGAACGTTTAATGGTCTTTGCGTATAAGACTATCATTCGTTTCTATAGTACAACTTTGTTGCGGGACGAGAATATAAAAAAAGATACTGACAACAGTTTACACAGTCGTATGTATAACTTTTTCTCCGCCACGTGGTCAAGACGCATTATTCAGTCGTGCGTGTAGATAATGAGTTATATCTCGACATACTGTTGTACTGCACAAATTATAACGATTGATTGGCGGTCACGGGGGTGGAAAAGCAGCAAGTGGGGATGCGCTTGAAGGATCGGCGAGTGCTCTTAGAATTTATCGTAAAGTAGTCGAGAGTACCGTGGGTGTACCGACTTTCGCTTCCTAGTGTATTTTCGAGATAGATGACAGATGATAATCACGAGTACGATCAGTCCGTTGCTGAAAATCGGTCTTCGAATCTTCGGCGTGTGGCCGGACGTGCCATACGCGGCTGTTCGCCGGTTGATTCATGTGTCAATCATACTGGTAGTGCAGTACTTCCAGTATCTGTACATATTCGCACATTTAAAGCTGGGCAAGCTGCATAATCTCGTGGAGGGCTTACCTGTGACTTTATATTACAGTTTGACCAGCATCAAGGTGATAACACTTTGGAAGTACCATCGGTAAGATAGCACGGCAGGCAACGCGACTTTGAGTCCCTCCGATCAGTTTCCACCGAGGGACGAGATCGACGCGGAGTTTATCACTGTGTATCATATGACCTCTGATATTCATTAAAACGAAACGTGAATTAGTATTAATTGCATCGGCTAAATATTAGTGGATAGTGGAACACGGCGGGATGTTCAACTTTGCGTATGAGTGATTTACCCAACCGCATAAAATATCTCGATTGGATTAAAGTGATACTTTACAGCATTGTTCGCGAAGTACTGGACGTTGTGGACACTGATTGGCGCGAGTGCGTGAACGTTGATCAGCACTTGCATTTGATGAAGAGGAAAGCTAGGCTCTCGCATTTTTGCGTGAATATTTGGTTGAGTCTGAACACTATCGGTGGAGTGCTCTACTTCGGAAGTAATAACGCCATGGCTATCATGCATCTGGAGGAAATCGACAATAAAACTTCGCGTCCTTTCCCCGTGAATGCATTGTTTCCTTTTGAAGCTGAGCAATCACCGCTCTACGAGATTCTCGTCGTCATTTTGTTTCTGCACGGGATGTCCGTGGCATACACGGTTGCTTTTCTGAACGCGTTTATTTCTACTGTGGTATGTCTTCCAAAAGTCCATAATGTCCGAATCGACTGGCAATCCAAAATTATTATCGCGACGAAATCTAACCTAGGTTTACTTGTGACTTAACGTATTTCAAAAAACTCGGTTTTGCAGAACGCCCTGAGGCTGTTCAAAATTTGACATAAGATAATGATTAAATATCGGTTGACAGATTTTTATAATAACCAATCATTATCAGTCATTATATGAAGAATATCATATCCGGCTTTCTTCCTTTTACGATTTTCAAAATTTTTTCTAAAATGCTATTTTTTCATTAAATATAATACTTGAAATTTTCGCAATTTCTTAAATAAATTTTAGGTACTTCATGTAAGCGGACAAATCGATATCATATGTGAAGGATTCAAAACCATTTCTGAGAGAATATCCTATTACGGATCTTCTGGGCAAACAGTAGGAATGCTGATTGAGAGGCATAATAAAGTCATCACATTTTCCAAGAATCTCGATAAACTTTTCTCCTTTATGGCTTTGATGCAAGTTTTTTGGAATACCTTAGCCATCTGCGTTCTTGGATTGCTTATTGTAACAGTGAGTATCGTAGTGCTTGCATGAATGCACTGTCATCGATATTGAAATTCATTGAGACTTGTTGAACATTTAATGAAATAGTCCATTCATAACGCAGCAGGCGTCATTCTGGCGAGAGCCGTATTCGCTTACTGCAACATAATGATGGAAATTTTTATTTATTGCTTTGCGGGAGAATATCTTAGTCATAAGGTTAGTGAATATTTATAATTTATTAGGTCTAATTCATCTCTACATATAACTTTGATAATTAATTACAGGTTTCGGTAGTTTGAGGAAATATGCGATCGAAAATAATTCCAGAATGTATAGTTTTTATGATTAACATATATATGAAAATGTATTAATATTGTATTGAAATTGATTGTCGTGATGGAATTTTTCTTTTCTATGCATGATTTATCCAAAGGCGCTGTATATAGTAATCATGTCTATAACATTTATTCCTATTTTCATTGTAATTTATGATATTTACAAGCTATAGAGACGCTTTTCCTTAATTTTTTTAATAAAGAAATAAAAAGGTTTATTTGAAACATTTTTTTCTCTTTTCCTAGAGTAAATCACTTGGCAATGCAGGGTATGAGTCATTATGGTACCACATGTCGCCCAATCAGACAAGAAATATATTATTCTTTATTATGAGGTCTCAGAAACAACTAACCATCACTGCGGGAGGAATGACAAATTTATCGTTAGAAGCCTTTACGAGCGTAAGCCTTCAGATTCTTTCTTCATTTACAACTAAATGATCCTTTGCATTTTTTGTGTGTTCGTATTACAAAGTGCATCGATTGTATATGTACATATACACATTTTTTCCGAACGATAATATGTTTTACTTCATTTTAGATCATGAAAGCGTCGGGGTCATATATATCTGTATTAAATGCGATGTATTGAAGTCTCTTAAATCTGTAGTTCCGTAAAGGTTACACTAAATTGTATAATATATATAGGATGACAATTTAGAAAATATTATAAGTGAAATTATATATTCGATATCTGCGAACTTTAAATCTTGATACCGAAGAAGGTACAATCGGAGATTAGCAGGTTTGCAGATTTTCAAGAAGTTTTACATAACCTATAATCTTATATTTAATAAATTCTTCTTTATTGCTTTGTCGTTATATTGTATATGAAATCATTTTTATGTGGGAAAAATAATATGTGTATACAATTTTACATCGTGTCCAACGTATACATCGTTAAATTTTCAATCTTTGAGAAGTTTGAACATCTTCACATAGTTTAAATAGTGTTATTTCCTGATCTGCACTTGTTGTTGTGAACTGCAATTGTTGTACTTGTTGCTTTTCTTTTCGTTTCGTTATTGTAACGTGCATAATAATATAGTTTTACTTGGAAAAGGCATGCAACTCCAAAGTAGTTTCTAACATTATTACTATGAAATTTCTACAGAAATTTTGTACTCACATACGTTTTCCACATCTTTGATTGTAACTATAACCAAGGTACTACGAAGAGTCTAATCGAATAAAATTTTTTGCTTTCGAGACTCTTGCCACATGTGCGAAGAACAACGTTCTCCGTAACATTTATGAAAATTACTCGCTATTATTCAATATTCGCTCTCTCTTCAGAGGAGTCACAAGGTACTTCCTTTATTTATTGCTTCTCAAACACGAGACGAGTGTGTAATTCATTTCTTTCTGTTGGAATAACAAATGCGATTATCAAACGTACAATCCCCGTGTACAATACGCGACTGTCATTTGTTTTTTATCTATGGTATAGTTTTCTCGCGGAAGAAGAACCTTAAAAAAATAGAGAATTGCTGACAATAGCATTACGTTGTACGCGTAACATTTTCTCCGCTGCGCGGACACATTATTCCAACGTGCGTACAAATAATGAGCTTTATCTCGATATACTGTTATATTGCATAAATCATGATAACAATTGATCGGTAGTATCACGGAGGTGGGGAAGTAGTAAGTGGGGATGCGTTTGGAGGATAGCCCGATGCTCTCACAGTTTATCGTACACAAAGAGTACCGTGCGTACCACCGACTTTCACTTTATAGTTTACTCTCGGAATCGTTGACAGATGGTTATCACGAGTACGGCCAGTCCGTTGCTAAAAATTGGTCTTCGAATTCTCGGCGTGTGGCCGGGCGTGCCATACGCCAACGCTCGTCGGCTCATTCTTGTGTGGAGTACATTAATCGTGCAATACTTTCAGTATGTGTACGTATTCACGCACTTTAAGCTGAGCGAGCTGCAGTATCTCGCAGACAGCTTACCGGGCACTTTATATTTTACTGTGACCACCATGAAAATGATAATAGTTTGGAAATATCATCGGTAAGATACTGCGACAAATAACGCGATTTTGAGTTTTTCTGATTCGTTTACGTTCCCCACGGAATGAGATCGATATGGAGTTCCACAATATTTACCATTCGTTCCTCTTGATCTTCGTTAAAGCAAACGTGATTTAATAATGACGTTCGGATGTTAATTGATCCGGCGATATATAATTTCGCGTAAAGATGACGACGCCACTGCAGGAAATATCTCTATCCGATTAAAGCGACACATTGCAGCCTGGTTCGCGAGATATTGGCCGCTATGGATACTGATTGGCGGGAGTGTGTTAACGTCGATGATCATTTGCACTTAATGAGGACGAGAGCTAGCTTCTCGAGTTTTTGCACAAAAGCTTTGTTTGGTTACAACACGCTCTCCGGTGGATTATATTTCGGCGGCAATAACTTGAATGCTCTCTTTGATCTGGTGGAAATCGGCAATGGTACTTCACGACCGCTCCCTGTGAGTGTAGTATTACCTTTTGAAGCTGACCAGTCGCCGATCTATGAGCTACTTGTCGCTGTCTTGTTTCTACATTCGATGACGATCGTGTATATGGTGAACTTTCTGTCCACGTTTTTGCTCACTCTGGTACGTTGTGTCGAATTCTGGGACGAGTTGGCTTATAATCTCAAAATACAGCTGTGAGAACAATGATGTAGCTTTATTTGCGATTTAATATTACTTACAGAAATCGCTTTTGCTCAATGAGTTTATAATTTCAACTAGGTGAGAATTTACTCGTGACCGATCGGAAATAGTTTATAATTGAATAATTTCTTATCACCTATACTGGAGGATATTTCGTTCTTCTTTCTACTTCTTCGTTTTAGACGAAAGATTCGTCGAAAAGCTTTGTCTTCTTTAAACATAGTATATGAAATATTTGCAGATATTTAAGTTTTTTCTAGGTATTTCATGTATGTGGGCAAATCGATGTCATATGTCTGCAGTTGAAAAGTATCTCTAACGAAATGCCTCATTATGAGTCCGTTGCTTATAGAACAAAAATACTGGTCGAGAAGCATAATAAAGTAATTTCATTTTCTGAGAATCTTGATAAACTTTTATCCTTCATGGCTTTAATGCAAATTTTTTGGAATACTTTAGTCTTCTGTTTTCTAGGACTGCACATTGTTGTGGTGAGTATCGCAATGCCCGTAGAAATGTCTGGCGATTGATATTATATTTCATTAAATTTTATTAATCATTTAACGAATTAGTCTATTCATAACGCTGCTGGTGTCATCCTAGTGAAAGCCATAATTGCTTACTTCGGCATAATGATGGAGATTTTTATCTTCTGCTTTGCAGGAGAATACCTTACTCATAAGGTTTGTGAATATTTAAGTAACTATCAAGTGTAATTTATTTTTTCATACAATCAAATTTGGTAATTTATTATTGCCCATCAGATTTCGATCGTTTGAAGAAACATCGATTTGAAAACAATTTTGCAATACATAGTTTGTAAGATTAATATTTATCTTAAAATTTATTTGTATTACATTGAGGTTAATCTTCTCGATACAGGTTTTTCCTTTCTTCGCACGTTTCGTTAAAAACCACTATATAACAATCATGTATGGGAATCCATGATATAAATTGCTTTTATTTATTGTTCCATAGGTATATTCGGGTACACATAAGCTACAGAAATATTATTTCCAATTTTTTTGCTAAACAAAAGTGTAAGGTTACTTCAAACATTTTTTATTTTGCTTTCTTTTTATTTTGCTCCCAGAGTAGATCACTCGGCGATGCAGGATACGAATCTTTATGGTATAACATGTCACCTAGTCTCAGTAAAAATATATTATTTTTTATCATGAGGTCTCAGAAACAACTCACTCTCACAGCGGGAGGAATGACAATTTTATCGTTAGAAGCCTTCACAAGCGTAAGTCTACTACTTTATTTCTTCTTCCATAATTATATGGTTTTTTACTTTTTTCCACATTAATATTAGTGCATGTTACTAAATGTACCGCTTGTATNCGTAAGTCTACTGATTTATTTCTTCTTCCATAATTATATGGTTCTTTACTTTTTTCCACATTAATATTAGTGCATGTTACTAAATGTACCGCTTGTATATGTATATGTACATATATGCATCTTTTCGCGAATAATAATATGTTTTAACTGATTTTAGATCATGAAAGCGTCGGCATCATATATATCTGTATTGAATGCAATGTATTGAGATTATTTAAATCTGTGATACAACAGAAATCATACTATATGGTTAGAGTAATAAAGGGGTGACAATTTCGAAACTGTTATAAGCGAAATTTATGTAAACGATAAGAGCAGGCCATACCTTATCAAAGAATGTATAATCGGATATTTGCACATCTGCAAGAAGTAACAGAACCTATTCTTATATTGAATAAAATGTCATAAATACTTATTTATTCTTTAACTATTATATTACATATTAAAAGATTTTTAGCTAGGAAAATAACATAAATAATTTACCATGTCCAACATATTTGTCGTTGTCCTTCACTGAGAAATTTGAGCATTTTCACAGAGTTTAAATCTCTCACTAACCTGTACTTGCATTTATAATCTTTTCCATCGTTTCGTTACACCGTACTATATGTGATACTACATTTTTTTCAAGATAGGCACTTAATTGCAGACTCCTATCTAATATATCTTATTTATTATGTACTTATTACGTCTACAGGTTTTCTATGCACATATGTTTTATGCGGCATCTTTGTTTGGCCACCACCGTAACCAAGATCAACGAAGAGTCAAATCAATAAAAGTTTTTTTTCCTTTGAGACTCTAGCCACATGTGTATCCCGGTGGACACCGCACTGTTGCATTTATGAAAATTATCCCCCATTATTAGATATGCGGCCCTACCTCCAAGGTAGCCACAATGTTCTTCCTCTCTTTATTTCTTTTAAAACACGTTACCACCTGTGTAATTCAGTTCTATTAAAATAACTGATGCGACTATCGTTCGAACGCTTAATGGTCCTCGTGTACAACATGCAACGATCAGTCGTTTTTTATCCATAATATAACTTCTCTGCGGAGGATGAACCCCACAAAAGAACAAAAGAGCTGACAACAGCTTGAACGGTCGTACATGTAATTTTTCTCCTACCACGCGATCCAAACGCGTTATTCAAACGTGCGTGCAGATAATGAGCTATATTTCGACATGCTACACTGTTATACTGCGCAAATCATAATAACGATTGATCGGTCGTCACGGAGTGGGGAGGCAATGTGTACGTTGAGGTGCACTGCGATGCACGGCCGGTGTTCTCACAGTTTATCGTACACGAGAGTACCGTGCGTGCACTTTCGCTTCTTAGTTTACTCTCGGGATATCTCATAGTTCACAAATGGTGGCCATGAGCACGATCAATCCGTTGCTGAAGCTCGGCCTTCGCATCCTCGGTGTGTGGCCGGACGTGCCATACGCCACCTTTCGTCGGCTGATTCATATGTGGAGTATATTAATCGTGCAATACTTTCAGTATGTGTTCATGTTCACGCACTTTAAGTTGAGCGAGCTGCAGTATCTCGTAGACAGTTTACCGGCCACTTTATATTATACCTTGACCACCATGAAGATGATAACACTTTGGAAGTATCATCGATAATTATAAGATACCGCGACAGATAACGCGATTTTGAATCTCTCTGATTCGTTTA